TACTTTAAAATTTTATTTGTTACCAATTTCATCAGAAATAAGACCAGCAGTATGAAATATGTATGCAATCAGTTAAAATCAATATAAAATCAGTAATAGAAGCAACTGACAGGTTTATCATAATAAGCTTTCTACGCACTTAGCATTAAATTAAATTTATGCGGAATACCAGTGATATAATATATTTATGTCCTCTTTTCAAATCAAAGTCGAGGAAATGCTGTTAGATTGTGCAGAATTAAAGCACCTCTTTTACATGCTAATGTGGCATAACTGACAACATTCCGATTCAGCAACTAAGAGATTCCGACTTCAATTTCGGACAAAGCCAGTGTCTATTTTTCTAAGATAACTATAATGTCGCCGAGCATCCGAGCTGGGAAAACTAAGATTGGTTGTCTTTTTAAAATTTATTAAAAAACTTTACATAGGCTTTCTTGCTTAATTAAAAGTCACATTACAGAAGGCGAAAGATAACAGCTTTCCCGACGCGTGATGTGTCTCACTCGCTTCTCATTTCTCGGAAAAAAGCAACGTTTTCTTTTCGCTTTCCAAATCAGTAACGGATATACCGCCAAGGTGGTGTCCTGAACTAGTCTTCCTTGATCACTTTCAACGGTCCTCTCGGAGGGCACTGTTGTTTGTTCAACAAGAACAACAAGGTTCTTGAAGAAAAATAACAGAAAGTTCTTTAATATAAACTTGGTTAGTTACAATAATTCTCCGAAATTTTTCTTTCAGGCAGCGATATCCCCCTGGATGAAAATTACAAAATTAGGATTTGTTGGGTGGATTAATTTATTAGGATTTGCCGACAAGAGTTAATTTATCTCCCTAGTCTGTTTAGGTGAGGAAAGACTTAAATAATTGCTCCCATGTAGTTTTGCTGTACATTGGCTAGTACAACGATTTAGAAATCGAACGCTTTCAAATCCCGGCAGCACAGGGGTCTCAGAATGGCGGGCCCCATACGGCTGTCGAAGCAAGTTTACGCGACTCGCGAACACATTTCAATTATGTATTTGTTGCAAATACTTTGTTGGAAAGATTTCACGATTTTTGATATTTGAAATCCGAGATTGCATTATTTTCATTAACATTAAAAACGAACATGAATAACGAATAGAAGATTTATAAAATACAAATCTTATTCAAAGATTTTGAAAATAAATTTTATAAAGTTTTATTCCTAATTATGTCAAAAAAAATAAGCTGAGTTACAAATTTTTACGTAAATTTATAATTAAGAATAATAGTTGAAAATTAATCATAAAAGAACCAGATTAAATAAGCTTCTATCCACAATAAAAATAATTTATAGTAATTTCTGTCCAAGGCCACAAACTTTATCAGCATCAAAATGCCATCAAGTGTCAAGCAGTAGTAAAGAAATTTATAATTATTTACACGTAAAAATATGTATTTTTATTTATACTTTGAAGAAAAATTTTATAAATAAGAAAAGTTGGTATTATTTATTCTCAAGTTTTGTACAACTTGGAAAATTTTTCTGAAAATTTAGAAAATTTTCATTACTCATATATTTTTTGTTTAAATTAAAGTAAGTTATTAAATGAATAGTTAAACATGTTAGAACTATTTTAAATAAATAACAGTTTGAAAATTTAATATTTAGCTATCAATATACCTAAATGAAAAACGTAATAAATATAAATTTGAATTTTTATCCTTCGCAGTATTATTATGGTTGTTTATGAATGGTTTACTAAATATTTAGCAGACGAAATTTACAATTTATCTAAAATATTTTTTATTTTGTTAATAAAAAAATTTCATTTTGTGGAAAAAAATGTTAGCTTTGTACAGATCATGCACTCAGCCCGGATGCAATTAGTTTCAGATGAATGGTCTACACGATCAATATATGATGTTAGAACAAGTTCTATTGTAGAACCAGAACATTAAAAAAAAGCTTTCGACTTACTTCGGGAGAACGCAGATTCTAAATTATGTAGAGCATTGTGAATTTTTAATAAAATTAAAGCAGAGTTTTGATTTTTAATTGAAAGGGAATTTTAAAAAGCACAGCTCAGAAACCGACAACGTAACTTCTGGTGACGTTGAAAGAAAAATGACGAAGAAATGAGTGTAGGATTTTACGAAATCCTAAATGGTATCTCGTTACATTAATGTACAATCGTCATTTTATTATTCCCTTTTGAAAAGGGTAGCATGATGGAAACATGGTGAATGGGAGAATGTTCTCCATCTGCTACACATTAAGACCCAATAGATTGGTTTTGAGGAAACTAACCTCCGATCATTTCCATTCCTGTTTCAAAATCTTGAAGTTTCCGCAAATGTAGTAGAAGAAATGAATGCACCTTTCGCCTTTTATCTGGATCATTATAGGTAGCGGTTTATTGACGCTGCAATAATGGAAAGTATAGTTACTTCTGTAACTATAGTGACAGGAGATATCTTGAAAGACAGCAGGAAATATCATTTGGGCTAATTTGCGTCGAAAGTTTGCAAGCTGTCTTGTACTTCTAAGCTAACTCAGTAGGTAAGAATTCAATAAGTATTCACACATAAATATATTTCATAGAAACTGAATGAAAACTAAATTTACTCTAATATCGGAATTTAAATCTTAAAAATCTACCGAAGCTTTCTCATAAAAATAAGAATAAAAAAAAAAAAAAAAATAGACAAAGTAGACAAAGAAATTCTGAAAGGTTTCAGAATTTAAATTACGTCCAAAAATGACGTTTTTTTAACATTTTGCGTGTTACCTTTATTTATTCAATATCATTTTCTCCGCACTTAAACCATAAAATTCAGTTCAAGAGCAATTATCTCAAAATAATTTTAAATTGAGCATATTTTCAGAATTTCCGATACACAGTCTCACGCGCTGGAGATAAAAATGTTTTTCTGTACAACGTTGCCATGGCTCGCTTTGAAATCCTTGAGTTCGTTAATCAAAAATTCTTAAAGTTTTAAAAAACACGAAATCGATAATAAAACAAATTCCAAATTTCAAATTTGGGCTTCCAGATGCCCATATTCGCAGTAGGACGACGTCATTCAAAATTGGATGGATCATGTACCGTTGTTTTATCACAATGCGAGAAACATACATACATTTATGCAGATTCTTCATTATTTTAATTTCTGGAAATATAATGCAGGACTCTAACATTGGTGGCAACATTTTGAAAAGAGAAACGGACATTCAGAGTGATTCGACGCAAAATCGCAAAACGAAAACAATAGTCCTTCAGGAACAAAGTCCCTTTTGCCTGAAAAAAATACTTATTATTAAAACATTTTTAGCTAAACAAAATTTAAAATCTGCATTTAATAAAATAAAATTTAAGAATATAATTTTTATAAACAGACCTATATTTATGAGCGGGCCCCCGTTGTTGAGTGTTGAGTTGAGTTGTTTACAAAGTTGAGTGTGTTTATTGCGGAATGATAGAAAAATTAGAATCCATCAGCATAAGGCAAAGCTTCCACGGGAATTGCAAAAAAGGACAAGGAAGTAATAGCAGTGCTAGGAGATGATGTCGAAGTATTTAGGAATTGTTTCTGAATCATGACAGTACTCAGTTTGTGTATATGTTAATCTAGAATATATATATATCATTAAATAATCCATTAAAATGATTCCCTAAATTGTAAAAATAAATTAAGTGTTAAATTTCCGTTGATTTCTATCGAAACAGATACATTTGCTAGGCATTTATTTAATACAAAGGTAAACTATTTTCATTTTTACTTTCAAGTACGAAGTAGAGGAAGTATTGTTCACAAAAAACTTCGGATATCATATTTTAACGCAATTATCCATTTTGAACGCTCTCATATCCATTTCAACAATGTTTTTGAGTGACATCTATACAAACAGACACGATAAAGGACTCCTTTTCTGAAACGGATTATAAAATGGATTTAAAATAAATTCAGAAGAGATTTTTTAATGACATCTGTACATACCTAAGTATGTATCTCATATAACTCAGAAGCGTTAGGCGTAGAACGTTGAAATTTTGTATGTGGCACTGCTATAACAGGTAGTTGTGCATCTTTTTGGTTGCAATCGGGAGCACCTGACACATATAAGTATATATACCTACTCTATTACCCGGGTAGGTGAGCTCAAGTTTTTTTTATTCTTATATGTTGGTAAATTGTGCATTTTTTTGCTTTAAAGCGATTGAATTATGTCGTTTTTAATGTTCCGGTTAAGGTTTTTATGTCTAGTTAATAGCTGCCGTTTGTTTACATTCGAAAGTCTTTATTATCGTAAAATAGTGAAGTAAGTCTATTAGTGCACCAACTTCAGTGTCTTTTTGCAGACTGAAGGTTTTCTTCATTTCTTTTGCATATAGTCAGGATGGTGATGTTGTGATTCATTACGACTATGTAACAAAAAATTTTCAAAATTTAACAGTACATCGCATTTAATCAGGAAGCTAAGACAATGTAAAATTTGCCGTAGACTTACATGAGCGAAGGATGCGACATTATGAAAACATCTTTTTGTGATTAATGTTTTTATTTATGAAACAAATTATATCTTAATACTCACCTCAACAGCTTTTTTCTCGATAAGAATCCAATATCTTACACAGAAAAGAAAATTCTTCCACTATCGTTTTGATCAAGAGTGCAAAATAAAAAATAACTGGCTATTAACTCTAAAACGGTAACATAGGTTTTTTTTTTGGTATTTACAATATTTTAAAATCACATTCACTTTCACTTCAGCCAAAATTCTTTAGCTGAGGAGAATCAAAATTACAACTTAGTGGTCCAAAAATGTGCATCGGGACCAAGCATTCATCTAAAATTTCCAAATTAAAAATCAGATTAATTAATATCATTCATTCATTATCGATTTTAGCATAAAGTTAATAGAGTAAATAACTTTGAACCTTGCATGAAATATAAAGGCAAAAGTTGTTTTCAATTTTAGATTTTATCCAAATAAGAATAAGAAATCATAAAAATATATCAGTGATCCTTACCCAGGACGAGGAGGGATTTATTAATATTGTTGGCTTCTTTGAGAGTCTCTCCACGACTGTTCGTCTTCTTCGTTTTTTCCGAGCCAGCTAAATCGACGAGGAAGAGTTTACCGTACCGTCTTATATAATGGGTTGGATCTTCAGAATCCCGGACTTCGGAGGTCAAAGTTAGTATGAGCATGGTGTGGCTTCGAGAGGAATGCTCGTTCATATTATGAGCTCGGACTTGGCGATTCTTTCGACCTGATAAAAGATTAATCAGGAGACTTAAAAAAAAAAAGGAACTGGTAAGAAGAATTCAAATCAAAAAATTATTTGCAACTCTAAAAACTTATTGCATTTGATTTTCTGACGCAGTTTGTTTTAGAAAACTTGTCTTGGGAAGATTAAAGCAAACTTTCCCGAGGCAAATTGCTTGAGGAGGCACTTTGCTTTCCTTAAATACCTTGCTTTCTGACTCTAAATTTGCTTTGGTAAGAGTAAATTTTTTTTGGTAAGAGAAAATTTTCTGATGAGAAAATTTCCGGATGATGCCTTGAGTCACTTTGCTTTTGTAGCAAAGTAGTTCGTAAATAGTATATTATACAGGGGGATTCAAAAACATTTGGCAAAAATAGTAATATATTTCATACAAAGTATTATATAGGGGGATTCAAAAACATTTGACGAAAATAGCAAAATATTTCATAAAAGGTATTATATAGGGGGTTCTAAAACATCTGGCAAAAATGTAAGGATAGGTAGAGGGAACCGAAACAGGTAGGTTTTTAATGGAATGTATGTGATATGATCCGTTGAGGCAGCATACGGCGCTATTGAGATCGATAGGTAAAGAACTGGTCCCTGGCGCAAATTATCATTTCTTGTGCGAGTTTCGAACATTTTGGGTTTCTGTACAAACGCGGAATTTGTACACATTCATTTTATTTATGGAGCTGCGAACGGAGACGGAGGAGCTCCTCAAAGGAAATACAGAAAATGATTCTGAGAACTTCCTTTGAGCAGCCACTTCGATCCCGTCACGTTCTTACTCTGCCTTATTTATTTCCAGTTACAGGTGTGTCTTAAATGACGACAATAATGCTATTTTGGAAATTTCAAATTAAAAAAAAAAAAAAAAAAAACAAATAATTTTCCACAAATAACGAAAATTCGATCCCCCGGTTCCTGTACTTATATTTGGAAAATTTTTGTATTTCAGTTATTGAAAAAAATAGAATTATAAGAAGTGTGACTCCCCTAGGAAAAAAATTGGATGGGATGTTTAATTTGAAAATTTGCAATTTTTTATGTAATTTTCAACTTGCCTTGAGGAACCGGTTAATGAAGTCAGAATAGTTTGAAGAAATAAATTTAAATAAAATGCAGAAAAATGCATACAATTTAATAGACCGCACAAGGATTATTTCTTCAAACTATTCTGTCTGAAGAAATAAATAACCTTTATTTTTTAAACTCAGTACTGCTTATCTTTTAATCATATGAACGATTTATTTTGATTAGCAATTTGACATTACATGGAAGTCATCTGTACGCTAGCTTTTAAACTTTTGTATTAACTATGATGCTTACTATTATATTAATTAGCTCGTATTTACATTACACACAGAGAAAGCCAGGAAAATGAAAGTGTTAGCCAATTTGTGGAGGAAGTTTAAATGAAATATGCTTGATTTTATTTTGCCGATATCTATTGCTTTGCGCTTAAGTTTCACCTTGAAAAGCATAATTCTGAAAAATTTCACATATTCGAAAGCAAAAGTAATGATGAGGATATTAAATAGCATTCCATAAGTTTATTAATTTGATAAGTATAACAAGACATGTTATTTTATCTTTCCTTTCATGCATTCAGTTCTAAAATTATACGCGCATTATGTATATACTTGAGTAATAATATTATAAAACCTGAGGTACTGGAAAATTCTTTTTAATATAATATAGATTTTAGAGAAGGGATGGATTATTTGTTGAGAAAGAATTTTAGGGCAACATAATTAAATAACAATGCGGTAGATTAAATGAAATAGCTCTACAGTTTTTTCGAAAGAAATTCTGTTTGGAATTCGAGAAACAACACATTTGCCATCTCTCAAAGGTAAGGTAAAAATATATTTTTATCAATGCTCGCTGCATTTGAATATACGCATTCATAACTTAGAAAATAATTCGTAATTTAGAAAAAGGAAGAGAAGGATGGGCCAAACTGGTTTATATGACGGCTAGAATAAGTTATAACTCAGTGCTTCTTATGGTGCTGACTTCAGGCCACATATGTGGATAAGAATTATCGTGGAAGTTTTTAGCTATTTTTGGAAGGACTGATCATTTCCTTCAGAAACATTTGCTAAGCACTGCCAATGCAAACACATTTAGTGAGCATTAGTTGCATTATGTTGCGTGATATATTGGTGCAATTTTCACTAACAATCAAGGAAATTGATGGTCATAATTATTTTACTTATTATCAATTCTTGCTGTACTTTTAAAAATCCGTGCTGTACTTTTTAAAAATAATTTTCCACACTTGATCCACTTCTTGTCATCTTAATTTCAAAGCTGAAGAAATGAGCTTTAAAATGCAATTTAAGATATTTTTTGTTCAAAGTAGTCTCATTGTTAAAATCGAATTTCGTGTTTTCTGACTTCAGTTCTGTTTGGTTCTATGTCGCTTGATGTCTGGATATTGAGAAACATCCAAATATCAAGCAAGTTATGAGTCATTTCATCAGAAACAGCCACATGCTTTGCTTCTTTAAATTAGCGTGAGTTTAACCCCTTATAATTATCTCAGCTGCAGTTCTAATCAATCTGTCGATAACGGCTGTTGCTACGGGTTGCTCTTTCCCAAAGCTTTGTCAAAGCTCCCAAAGCTTTTCATTCCTCCCAGCTATTACTATATTGTATGCAGAGATGTAATATTTGGATCATATGTCCTGACAAATATTTTATCACTTTTATATTTAATTTTCCCAGCCAAACAATAAAGTAATATTTTTTTTATAAATATCGGCGCCACGTGCTTTACTTTTGTACTTTTGGCTTTCATGACTCATAGTTCTGACAGTATATGTTTTTTACAAGGGTAAAAAACATATGCAGTCAGAACTATGAGTCCAATGCATGCTAGCTGCATGCATTGGAAGAGGCGAAGCTAACACAATTGGCGTGCAGTTGACTGCATATTCTGATCATCGCCTACTTCACCACGTCTGTTATATACTTTTGTTTAAAAAATTATCATCTTTCTTTTTTTATTGTGTTACAACAAATGCTTTTGAAAAATTATGAGATATCCTCCTCACATGCTTTTTAGTATTTCTTATCTAGTAATTAATTAAAACATAGATAATCACAATTAAAAATCCCATGAGTATTAAGCACATTTGAACTTGTTCGGAAATGTTTTTTTTTTTAATTTAATTATTTTTTATTTTTATAGAATCAGAATCGTGTTTGTAATTTTAATTATAACTAGAACGCATAAATACTAATACTTCACTAAATCGAAAAGATATATTTGGTGACCATTGACAGTGTAGTATGCATACACTATTATGTTATCTATACATATAAAAAAGAGAAAAAATATTTAAAAATATTTACTGTTGCGAAGATAAATTATCAGATAGACGAGGAATTATAAATAAAATTAAATAAGATTAGATAGACTTAAGAATAAAAAGCATATCAGTATTGTCTTTCTCTTCAGCCAGAAAAATTTGGAACGTAGCAAGTGTAAATAATAGAATACTATCTCAAATAAATATTTTAAATGAATTTTAATACCTTCATCTAATACTCCTTCTAAATCCCCCGCGTCTTCGCATTCCACAACGAAGAGATTTTCTGCGTAGAATCCTTTCTCTTTAGACCACCGAACTGGCAACGGCTTGGTTGAAGGATTTAATAGATCTAAAACCTAAATGAGAAGAGCATAAAAAAATTCCAAAAGTTATCTTGAAGATGTAATCTAAAAAATTAAAGAAAATGTTATCATTATAAATATCTCTCTTATTTTGAAATAATATCCAAGTTGACATTTAACGAAGCACAATTACGAAACAAATGAAAAGGAATGTAGGAGAAGCTTTCGCTATAATAAATTCGATAGATTGTACTGAATTTTAAAGTTTTAGCAATATATTAATACCTTAGTATAAGTAAAATATTTACAAAGCAAATTAATGTCTTTTTTATAATAATTAGAATTCTTTGATTTTTTTCATGCTTTTTAGATGGTTATGATCATATATATATATGATATGATTTAAATATACATATGATTCAATTTAAATGCAAGAAGACAATGTAGATGTTAACTGCCGATTCATAAAGAACTTGATGACGTCTTGGTAGCTTGAACACTTTTTATTCTTAGTAAAACAAATACGATAGAAACGTTGCAGGAATTTATATTTATTTTAAATAAACAATTTTATTTAATTTTGCATTCTTCCCTATAAGCTTTCCTTCCCCTAATTGTCAATGCCAGAATATTTAAATTTGGTAGCGCTCGTGAAAAATTGCAAATTCTACCTTGAGTAGGAAAATTTTAAATACCAATGTTTAGAAGGAAACTTAGGCTATTGCCATCACCTCTGTAGCGTGAGCTTGTATTTCCACGGTTATTGCTGGTTTACGTAGCATACCAGCATTTACTTTGCTGCCACTAGTTTTAACTCGGTGTTAAGTAACAGGAGTTTTCTAAGCCCTGTAGCTTAATTTCTATTACTTGTTAGCATCTTCGAATTTTAGTTTAGTTTCTTGTTGCTTCAGTTACTCTCCAAGTGAGGCATAGTGTGTTAGCGTCAAGTCGACGCATTCTCAAATTTAAAGAGTCTAATAAGGGGTACTTTTAACCCTTCTCCTGTGTAATTCCTACACGTACAGTTGCCACTTAGAAGTTAGAAACTACAACGTAATTAAATTAGTGCAAAAAATTACTACTCCTTTGGTAACATTTTTGCGACATATCCAAGATTAAAACTTGCTTTGGAATCAGTTTTGTTTCAGCTTTATCCATTGCTAAAAGTTTCGGTCTCTCAAATTGAAAATTATTATTGGCTGAAGCGCTATGTTAGATCTGCGCCACTGAAATCCACTTAAATTAAAACTTAATGGCTATTTAATTAATTAATGGAATTATTTTCATTCATGTAGTCTTAATTATTTGTGTTTATTTTCATATTTAAAAATAGCGTTGGCACTATCTAAGAAGTAAATATCTAACCAAAACGGTAGATCACATACTACATCGTTACCTATATTTCATTTATTTTTTTTATATTGTTAGATACAAAAAAGTATGCCTTGTTACCTGTTCTTTGTAGATTTCCATATAGGAAGCTTGCACCACGTATTCGATGTCTTTCCTTTGTTTAATTTGATTGAAAAGGTAGGCAAAGGCCATGTGGACAATACCTGGGGAGGGGCGCTGTCCTGGACGCAGTAAGTCGTCACTCTACAAGAAAACGTATTCTGAGTAAGTGAAAAACTTAAAATACTCTTTATAACATAAAGATTTATATAGAACAAAATCTACATAAAAATAAGGATCTTTATTTTGTGAAGTTTTTAAAAAAAACTACGACGCCAAAGTTTAAAAGTTTATTACCTAATTCCCAAAATTAAATTTTTGACTAGCACATACTATTTTATGCATAAAGTTCCTATATTTACTAATGACACATTTACCTTTTAAACGTTTCCATTATAAATTACAAGTGCATATAAAAATACTGTATAATTTGCTTACAAAACCTCATATAAAACTAGTAACCTAAAAATTTTTTTTTCAACAAAATTTGTAAAGATAAAGGATAAAACACATTTTATAAATTTAATTTTATCCAGGAGAAGACAAAATTTATGTTTCTAACTTGATTTGAACAAGTCAAGCTAGAAACTTGTTCTTTACTGAGTAGAGACATTCGGTATTTTTTTGGAATTAGGAGAAATGAAAAATCTGCAATGCCTTCGCCGGGAATCGAACCGCAGACCTCTGGAATATGTGCCCAGAGTGCAGACCACCACACCACGAAGGCGGCAGAAACACCTTATATACCCCCCTTTTAAAGGACGACTGGTGTTTCTAGGGGTCCCAGTCGCCAAATCCTGGGTGTGGAGAATCATAATCCAACACCCTTTTAGTTCGGGTGCCACTGTACATTGGATATTTTTGGAAGCTGGCAAGATGAAAAATTAGTAACGCCTTACCCGGAAATCGAACCGAGGGCCTCTGAAATATGCGCCCAGCATGCAGAGCACTACACCCCGAAGAAGGCATGCCAAGAAGGCGGGAGAAATACGTTATAACTGGATGAAATATTTTGCTTAGTGCAATTTCCGTAAATTTGCTTCAATTCGTAAATTCTTCGTTAATCAGTACTTCATAAATCATTTACCGAATTACGCATAAAAATGACATAAAAACTATTTGCTAATAAATTCCTTCTGTGGAAAAGCTCCGGCTCGAGAAATGGCATATGTCCTTTTTTGACTGTTTACTGAATGAAATTTGTGCCGAAATTGTTTCTGAATATTTAAATTAGTATCGTTTTGCGATAAAAGTTTTGACTGAAATATGTCTAATTCCAAAGAAATGAAACCACACTTGGATTTTAGTGTATGATGATTAATCTCTTTGTCTAATGTCTAATTCCAAAGAAATGAAACCACACTTGGATTTTAGTGTATGATGATTAATCTCTTTTATGTTTTCCACTAAAAGAATACATTAAACAATTTCACATAGGCCAAAAATTGTTAGAGGATTATTTTCGTGAATGTCGACCATCAGAGACATTGACATCAGAAAATATTGTTTGTGTCCAGGAGGAAACATTAAAGTTAGGTTATTGAAGTAAGGCAAAACACATTAGGTCTATCTGGCTAAAGGGAGGAATGCGTTAGTGAGAGGATTTCTAAGGGAAACTGATCCGTATTCACGTTATACATGGGAAAAATCACAAAACCAACCAAACAGGCAAGCTAGTTCGCCTGGATCGATGGCAGGCAAGCTAGTTCGCCTGGATTACTGATGATGATGGCGAGAAAAGAGCAGATATGGAACATTTTGAAGGCAAACATTTAGATTATTTTTTCAATGGCATAGGAGTTACTCATGTAAAACTTTACAGAGGTACAAGAGCGTCATATTTAAAAATAAAATATAAACATCATCTCTATTAATTTTAGAAGAATAACAGGCCGGAAAGGTATGGATCTACCTACGTATTTGAGAAATCTGTAAACGTTCTATCTAACAGAATTCAACCACACTATTTGTTTTACATAGATTCCACGTAAAAGTAATGAAATAAACTGTGTTGCTTTTAGTAACATTTTATTTAGATGAGGTTCTGTCCGTACTGTTGTAACTTGTTTGAATGGACGGAGAAATGACAAAATGAAAAGCTTCCACAGAAGCTGTTCACACATTTTTTTAGACGATGTATATTGCATTCACAAAACTAAATTACATAAAATTCTTGTGTTTTACATGTTCTATTTGACATCCCTTATTCTGAACTATCTTCCGACACCACAATTTCCTGGATAATAATGCCTTTTAAGTGGCACAAGAGATATTCTATTCCATTCCTCCCGAACAGCTTTCTATTCTATTCCATTCCTCCCGAACAGAACTCCCGAACAGTCCTGTTAAGGTTTGGGGACAACGTTTGGATAATGCAGTTTTTAAAAGTCCGAAAGCCCAAAAATCCATAGGGAGATTTAGTAGGGATATCAGTGAAGGGTATGTCCTTGACACCAGTTTTTGGTTGCATTTCTTTCAGGAAATTTACAGTGGATTTTGATGTGTGACTGCTAGCTTTGTCCTGATGGAGTCTCACAGATGGATGGCACTGTGGGTAAAGCAACGGTATTTCATTCAGAAAAATTGGCGATATGTTCCTGATAGTATTTGGAGTTAATCTTGACATTTTTTTTTGCACTCTCTTTTTTTTAATTGCCATTATAAGAAAAACCAGAACAATCAATTGCCCTTAGAAAAACTTTCTTTCGATTCTTGAATCATGTACTTAAATTTTTTTCTTCCCTTTTATGAAATAAATGGCTCTTTTTGTTACAATCATTTAAATACACCCATGCTTCATCTATTGTGACAATGGCTCTTTTTTTGTTACAATCATTTAAATCACCCATGCTTCATCTATTGTGACAATTGTTTTCCATTTTTTTTTTTTTTTTTTTTGGATAAGTGTTTTCTCATATAGAATTCTGCGCGTGTCCTCGTTGAGCGATATGCTTTGGAGGAAGACGCTGCACATTGCGTTTTTTTCGCTTTCTTAAGATTTAAATCAACGTTTATCATTTTGTTTACAGTAGACACTGAGCATTTTAATGATTTTGCAACTGTCCTCTGACTAGGTGGATTTTCTTTTAACATTAAACAACGTACCTTTGCAATAGTTGAAGATGTCCGTTTTTTCCTTGGATACTTGTTTGGAATTTTTGTCCCACTTGAGGCTCCAATTTGACGTTCGTTTCCTTTCTTGTTGATGATATTACCTATCGACGCTTTAGATATCACAAAACCATGACCCCACATTGTTTTTGGATAACGGAGTATGCATATTTCTCTTCGGAAAGAACGTAAATGTAGCCTTCGAACTACTGCTTTGTTAAATTCGCCATTTTGAATAAAAACAAACTTTCAAGCCAGAGACGATAATTTTGACTTTTAAAAACATAGTAAAATTGCAATTACTTCTTTTGCAGCAAACGAGTTTTTATTACCGCTTACCAAAATCGTCTAAAAAATGTGCGAACAGCCTCTGTAGACTAAGAAGAACAATTATGTTTTAATCGTCATGGTGTATTAAATGGAGAATGTATTTCGGTTCTTCTGGAAGCATTTATCATCTTCATATGAAGTAAACTTTCGTGTTAGCTTTAAATGCATGAGCGCAGTTATTTTCTTTTCCTCCTTTCGCTGAACAAATGCCTTGTTTTTCATATTTAATGAGGAGTATATAGAGGTATGAATTTACAAGAAATGTATAGCGAAGCAAAATAAAAAAGAATCCAATACTCTTAATTAATTTGTATTATGCAAATATTCAAATAATATTCAGTGTGAGTGGAAATTATCATTGATGATTCATCATTTTTCGATTATTTTAAATAAAAACTTGAAAAATGTTTTGGTTTGTGCACTAGTTTTGAAGATTTCAGAAGTTTTTTTTTAAATTTTATTTCTAATAAACTTAGAAGAAAGATGACTGTTATCAATTTCATTTTCGTTCCTGCCCTAAAAGTCTGATAGATATTAATCATGTTGTTTTTCTAATCAAATAAAATAAAACACGCCACTTTTGTTTGCCTAAGGGAAAGGATAAGATTTTTCTAAGGGAGAAAAATGGGTCATTTTCATGCTACACGTGGGGAAAGGGCACGAAAATAACCCATGCATCCAGCCGTTTTAAAGGATTCAACTTACTCCCAACTGGAAAGCCCATAAGACTATTTGCCTAAGGAATGAACCTTAGTGGAGGTCTTCCTATGGAAAACTAGATAGTAATTACGTTTTTCATGGGGAAAGCAACAAAAAACACCCCTAATAGCGTATGGCCTGCACTTTTTTAGTATCTTTCTCCGTTCGATCATGTCTAAATTAGGGTATCATATACGCTGACAAGAAACACATCATCAGGTTAAAACAGATAAACTCTAGCAGAGAATTATAATTGCCTGAACTGCATGGGAGGCGAAAGTCGTCCCAAGAAGCTTGGTAGTACAGGTCAGAGGTGGAATACTCTTGTATACCCTTATATCCGTCCTCTAGGGTCTTCTCCATGAAAATTGGTACTAAAACCCTCTTTTCGGATGGCAATATTTAAGAAAACAATTTTACATACGGTTTTTGGTATCCCCTGATTTTCAAGCACAGGTAATGATTCGATGTTTGTCTAACATTAATACCAACACCATCTTAACCACCTCTGGTGCTTTAACTCACATTCTGAAAGATTAATTGAAAGTAAGAAATTAATAGAATTGTAGAGCCAAATCCTCAATTGCAATGCAAAGAAATGTTAAATTTTAGGTGTTACTGGCAATTCTACTACGGTATAAAATTTAACTACAGACAGTTTATTCGGAACAAAGTGCCTTATTGTCAGTTAACAAAAAAGATCACTGGGTTAAAATGTTGCAACCTGCATTTAATAAGAAATTTACTTTTAACTAAAATTTGCAATTTTCATAAAAGATGGCTCACTAAATCTCACCCATTGGCTTTTTTATTACACATTTATTTTTCATTAAAATATGGCAAAATAAATTCACAGTTGATTGTCTAATAACTGAAAATGAGTTCAATGTGTTCTTGCAAGCGAACCTTCGAATTTATCAAAACCCTCAGCACCACGTCTTCCGAAATTGCATGGCTTAAGTATACGACAAGAAACTCGAGCTTCAGGTGTTCTTGAAACGGACATTGCGGAAAAGAAAAAAAAAAAAAAAGGAATGGGACAGTTCTACATCTTCTCTTCTACTCGGCCGAATTGACGAAATTCGACTTGCGTTTTTCATGTCTCGAAAGCGAGACTTGGGATATGTATTAGATTTATATATAGCATTGTTCCAATATTGGTATTTTGACGCAAAATCCGAGTTTTCTGAAATGACATACCAATTGTTTTTCCATATTTCGATTCCACGACTCAAATTATGCCAAACCGCCAAGTTTTGTAAAACTCGCACGAGTAGTTTTTAAAATATTTGATCCCAAAATTTTAGCTCCTCAATATTAATTCGGTTTAGTATATATTTATTAATATTTCGTTTTTTTTTATTAAACTTATTTGATTCGTTTCACATTTCGAAATTTAGGTTCATTCTAAATAAAATTAGCCTATTTTTTATGATTTATTTTTTAAATTCGCATTTTTAAATAATTTTTATAAATTTGTCGAAAAAAAATTTGAATTATAACCTATAAAATTTTTAACATCATCTTAAAGTAGATGTATATCTAGGCACACCGGCAAAAATTAGAGTTTTTTATTCAAAACTTTTTAAGATATATATGAATTTACATATATTTACGCGCATTGAAATTTGGCACAATTGTTATAAGCGATAATAACGTCAAATGTGGTTTACGCACTTTGTTAAAAGTATTTGAAGGTATGAACAATGACTTTTTTCCGCTCGTATGCAATGGAAAAAAGGAAAGGAAAATAGGTTGCTATAAATTAAGAAGTTCGCCAAGTGGCCATTTTTGCCGCAAACTGAAAAAAATGCTCCAAGATAAATGTTTGAATTTCTTCGTAAATTTCACATCAAATTTTACAAAATTTACTATTTAGGCATAATTTGAGTCGTAGAATCGAAATATGGAAAAAATATTAGCATGCCATTTCAGAAAAAAGTCCCGTTTTGTGTCAAAATACCTATGTTAGAATGATGCTATACATAAATCTAATATATGTCTTAAGCCGCGCTTTCGAGACATGAAAAGCTCAAGTTGAATTTTGTGAATCGGTGAAGTGGAACGGGAGATATAGAAATAACCCCTTTTTTAATTTTATTTTGCGCAGCATACATTATCGCTCAATAAATTTCATAAAAAGAAATCATATGGATTAATACCCGAGCTATGAAAAGGCTTTTATCTCCTAATTTCGTAATCTTCAGGAGACTGATGCAACATTGCGCATACATTAAATATGTCATACAGGAAATCAACAATAACTTTTGCAGTGGTAAGTGGGCTTTATCTTGCATGAACCACTCAGTGAGTGAAGGGAAATCTTCTTGCCACTTTCAGGTGTGCGGACACTTACTGAGTGTCGTCGATTCCTCTGCAATTTCTTACTAAATCTGTAAATGACCCGTTTGAAAGGAACTGATTTTGTATCAAAATGTGCACAAAAATGTCTTTGTGTCACCACCAAACGCTTCGTTCCTTCAAAAAATATTATACCTTTCACCTTACATTCAACACTCAACTGGCCGATATTCACTCTATAACAAAATGCTAGTTCGCAACAAACTGTCGTCAAGTCTCTGATTTCTCTTGACACCTGCTGGATTTTCCATGAACAAAAGTGCCCATTCTCACATTCAATACATAAAATTATAAATTTTATAGTAACCATTTTATAGTTATACCAATGAATTATCCTATAAAATTGCAAATTTCATAGTATAATTCATTGGTATGGCATTTCTTATGCCACCCTTTACTTAAGTGAAAATATGCTTTGATAGCATTCTGTATATTTTGGGGCCAAGTTTATATAATAGTAACTATTATTATCAAGGATGCAACACAAGAACAGCACACGCAGACCGGTTCTTACCTGAGGACCCGTCAATGTGTATGTTTTCCCAGCTCCTGTTTGGCCATAGGCAAGAACTGTGCATGCAAATCTGAAAAGAAATTATTTAAAATATTTTTATGAAAAGTGTTTTTTATTTCATGCATTTTTAATTTTAAGTTCAAATCATATTCTCTATAGATATCAACGCAGTGGTGTCAAATTTTAGCATAATAATAATATATAAAACTGTTACATTTTCAACAGAAATCAACTATTAATTACTCCTTTTGTTATGTCAGAAATACTTTTAGCCCGAATTTTATTTTTACAAGATCAATGCATATTTCCCTATTGAATAAAAAATTTTTTGGCTACATCTATAAATGCATAATATTTTAATAAAAATCGAAATTCTCGAATGGTACTCTTATAAAGAGAAACCGAAAGTAATTTTTCTACAAGAATTAATCTCTTGTCTATGAAAGATTTGTTTATTGACATTAGTTCTTTAGCTATTCATTCAACGTACAAACTAAAAATGAGCATATCCTATCTCATCTAAGGAACGTACCTGAACAAATATCGCCTCATATCAATATTACAAAGAGAAGTATTTCTTCCAAACGAGATCATATTTTTAAGCTTATCTTGGCAGATGGAATACAAAACTGAGTATAGCCACATGGCTAACACGTTAGTGAACTTGAAAATGAGGGACACATTTTAAAATGCTTCGTTAAACATCTTTTGCTTCAAGAACACTTGCCATGTCTATGAGTTTTAAATTATGCTTACTTTAGAGAGTATCAGTCACATACAGGATATTTGAAAGTGGTACACTCTGCACAAAAAACGAAAGGGGACAGTTCTATATCTCCTGTCCTCCTGAGTCGATTGACGAAATTTAACGTACAGTTTTCACGAGGGTACGCGACTTAGCAGTTTACTGCTACTTAAGAGTAAAATATTGTGGGAACTGTAACTGTAACTAAGATTATGTAAGAGCGCCATCTACTACTTCTCTTCTTTTTCCTCTCGAGGCCCATCTTTTTTTTTTTTTTAAATCCTTTCCTTTCTCCTCTTAACTACTATGGGCCATTTATTTTTAAATTTATTTTGCCCCAATTCTTCTTTCAGGCCTTTTGAACTCGTATAAAACAATACGAAGTTCCTTTTATTCTTCTCTGGAAACCGAAATTGCCCCCTTTCTATATACCTTTCCTTCGCACCTAAGCTTGATTTTTCGCGCATCGGTGCAGAAAGACTTAGCGGGTGCAAAAGAAGACATCTGTCTACTTTGTCTGTCTGTCTGTCAGATTAGGGTGTGGTCAGACCAGATGAGACGTGAACGATAGTGAGGACAGAAGTGTCCAAAATGTTTTGACGATTATTCTTTTTACTTTCCTTTTCATTCTAATGTAAATAAATAAATCCTAGTTTAACTTCATGAGTTGTAGTTATGCTTATCGTCAATCCTTCCCAATAATATTTATGTTTCAAATTTAATCAGAAAAGTCAGCGATGCAAAAAAAGTATGTTGCTACTGCCCTAAATAAAATATTATTATCTGTCATGCTCTATCGCGTAGCCATTCGGAAAAGCATAAGATATTTAGTTTTTCCTTTACATTTAATCTGTCTGTTATAGATTAATAAGCTAAGAGATTGAAAAGCAATAAACTCAGTCCATCTCTATTATTATTATTTGCTTAGATTAATAAGCGAAGGGACTGAAAAGCAATAAACTGAATGTATGTCTATTGTTATTTATTGCTCAGATTAATAAGCTGAAGGACTGAAAAGCAATAAACTTAATTCATGTCTATTATTATTAATTGATTAGATTAATAAGCTTATCAGGACTACTATTTCTCCTTATCTGCTTTGCGAACATGCAAGTGTTCTGAGTAGAACGGTGAGCTTACTTTAATCTGTTGAACTGTAGAAGAGATAACAAAGATGAGAAGGGTTTAATTACCCTTTATTCTTCACGAATTACAGGTGCTCCCGCACTCCGGTATACAAAGACCAAACATTTGTGGTCTAAAAGTAAGAAAATAAGAACTAGTTGCGAACTAAATTTAAATATGAGCTAAACTCGAATACTTTACATAGACGAATAACACTAAGCTTGGCCTTTTAGATTATTACGTATGTAGTACACAAACTGCGGGTAAACTACAACACGTCTTAGATATCAAGAGGACTAAACCTCTGGCCTTAAAGGCGGACAGCAACTGATTGAAAGCACGCGTGAAATACAGTGGCGAGAAGGCTCACTCTCTCTGTACTAGGCGAAAAGCCACAACTTAAATACTTAAAAGAATTTGCAAGCACAATTTGCATAACCAAACTAACGCGTTTATTCTGGCCGGAAGTGGAAAATAAGAGAGGACAGTAACGTTTTAATATAAAATAAACGTTAGTAAAACTTAAGGTGCTTATAAACTAATGGACTGAGAAGCAATAAACTCAATTCATGTCTATTATTATTAATTGCTTAGATCAATACGCTCAGGGATTAAAAAGCAATTCATGTCTTTATTAATTGCTTAGATTAATAAGCTAAGGGACTGAAAAGCAATAAACTCAATTCATGTCTATTATTATTAATTGCTAGTTGGACCCCTGGTGATATACTAGCTGGACTTATTAAAATCAGCACATTTTTTTCTTTTTCATAATAACCATTTTAGGCCACTGGCACGCAAATCGCCAGTCTTTTAAAGGATGAATTATGGTGAATTCAATAAATTGTGTTTTTGCTGCCTGTTGCGTGAAATAAACGTTGTTTAACATTGCTATCCACTTACCCGTCTAAGGCCATATCTATGAGCCGTTTGATACCACAGTGATCAAAAACCTCTTCCTGCGTGGCTTCAGGTTCGAAAACGACATGAAACGTAAACACTCTAGGCGCTGCTGAGTGATCATCCAGCTGGAAGAAAATACAAATAGAGAAGCTTTTTATAACATCAACCACCCCATTTCTTACGTTTTACAGAATAATGTTTTTTTAAATTATTTTTAGGAAACAAATTTGAAACAAGCTTCTCAAACTAAAAGTTCTAATCGATGATATAAACTCGTTTTTTATAACAAATGATATAAAAATCTGTTCCTGAAAAATATTTCCATTAGAAATAATAATTCGTTATGTGTTGGAAACGGTCTAAAATATTTTCGGTTTAATTTTTGGAAAGAAGTAGGAATAGGGAATATGAAGCATATATGAACATGTATCAAATAAGGATTAGTTATAAAATATTCATACATAGCGTTTTACACCTCTCTCTTGCAGCATATTTCTGGTTAGCTACCAGAAAACCCATTCTCATACATACATTTAAATCAGAGAGGGTTTGCCAAAAACCCAACTGCGATGGCAGTTAATCTGTTCAGATATTCTAAAAAATAGTAAATAATACTGCATCTTGTAGTAATTTTAATGAATCCCAAAATAATCTGCAAAAATCTGGTTTTCGTATAACAGAAAACTTCTTATTTTCCAGTAGGCTGCATTCTGTTTTAACATTCTATATATTACAGTATTTCTCGGTGATACATTTTTTTTCTTTAAAAATTTCGTGTCTAAAACCTAGGTACGTTTTATATCATAATGGCAGCGGTGACAATGGTGGTGTTGCGACGAACAAAACCATGGGTGAAAGCCGCTGGATACCTAATAATTCAATCCAAGTTTAAAGTCTTACGAGCAAGCTGTTTGCACGATGTTTTTGCAGTTTTCCTGGAGAGTAATGTGAATACAAGTTAATTTCCCTTAAAAGGTTTTTCAGGAAGCACTTAAGGCCTATCTCTCATTGGGAAGTAAATTACTTACTACGTAAAAGCGCTCGTATTATGACACTGCACATTGTCATGGGGAGCGATGAAATTTGCCACCAGCAAGTGTCATCGCTTTCTCTTGAATAACGGACGCATATAATATGTCAGGTGAAAAATCACATGACAATAAGCTGTATCCATGCTGTCACGTATCTCCTGCGACTGCCGCGGTAGGAGGTACTGGAATCCCTGTCATACTTATCGGATATGAGTCCGCGTGACTATGATCTCTTCACCAAAATGAAAGAAACAACTGCGAGGAATCTATTAGAACGATGGAAAGGCGGTTACGACATACTGTAGAGCGGCTCCTGGGCGACGTCACACCATAGCGTGTCTTCCAGTAATTCCAGTCTCCATAGTAGGAGGAGATCGTGGCAGTGATTATGAGATTGCACATTGTCATGGAGTACGATCCGAGTTGTCATCAACCAGTTTGGTAGTTTTGTCCTGAATGATGGGTTCACGAATCCTATCATCTTCTATAAGAACGCGCGGTGTCATAAAGCGAGTGCTGTCAAGGATGTCCTCCGACGGTATGATGGGAGGTATCGGAATGTTTGCAATACTTACCCGATATGAATCCATGTGACTAAGATCTCTCCTCCAAAAAGGAAAGTACCACTGCCAAGCGTCCATTACAACATCACAGTAGATCTATTATCTTTCATGACAAATGAAAATGCATGCATCTTCGTCTCGGTACATAACAGAAATAAGTTACAAATTTTATCATGCTCGTTTCAGCACTCTTTTCGAAGCTCTATTCAATCAGTGCGCCCATTTTGGACACACCCACAGAATTAAAAATAAGTGCTATCTCCACAAAATTTTACTTGTGTATTCCTATAGACCTAATTAGACTGCCTACTTTTTTTTTTAAATCAAAACTTCAACTTTAAAAGGTAGCGTGCCAGAAAGAGTTAAAAGACAGACTCAGGTAGAAAGCCATGTAGCTCAAGTTCATAAATTAGTTCTGACAATAAGGTTTCATGGCCAAGATGTTAATTCAACCCAGAAGATGGCTACTCCATTATCAGCTTAAAAATAAAGAGAAGTATATCCATTACAGTAAAAAGCAAGTTATTTGCTCTTTAGGGTAATCGTTGTGGTGTATCAACAAAAGTGAACGTGCTGATGGTTTATGATGTCTTCCACTAATTTGATAAAAGGTGACAGATATGTCAAATATTTAGGAGTTGGTTGAATATTTTGTATCTTTGGTTTTGTATCTTAGAACCATCAACGTGATACCACTAGTTGTGTCTATCTATTTTTGTAACATAGAAATGAATGCTATTGGCAGTTAGAGACCCTGGAGTGGAATCGAAAATATGATTTCTTTTTTTTGAATTAGGTTTAGTGAAGCAAATGATGTCTTACCGCTATTTGTCCATCTGCTGGAAACTGTACAGCCTGTATGTCCTTCCTGCCTTCCTCTTGCTGAGTGAGTGGACGAACTCTAAATTACAGAAATAAATAGAAATATCTAAAAAATTCAAAGAATAGTCACAAGGTGATGTCTTTAATTTTGAAAATTTTAATAAATAATCAAGATATTATATCATCTGACTGATTTGATATAAAACGGCATGAACTGGCATCATCTAAAAAAGGACGTTAATTTGTTCTACATTTATTATAAAATATTTTCAGGATGAGAATGCAGTGGCGACTGGTTAATTGGTTTGAAACTTCGAAGATGTGTACGTTAATATTGATTATTATAAATATTTTGCTACCATTTTATAACACTTAAAGAGCATATTCGAATCAACTCGAGCAGACGATATTGGCAGAAATTCGAGCTCATATTCGTGTATAAAAATATCAGTATTTTAGTATTTGCCATAACTTCTCAAAACGAAATATTAAAAATAAAGAATCCTCTTTGAGGCTTAAAATTTCAACCTACATTATTAAAAAGTTATTAAATTATTTCCTGTATCTTCCTTCGAAGTTAACTACATGAAAGAAGTTTTTTAAAAACTTTCTGTTGTGCTTGGAATCATCGTAAAAACTTGTGCTCACAATTTACTTTTTATGTACCCATACGTCAGAATACCGCGCGAAAATATTCTGAAATGTATATTTCTTGCGGGGGGAGAGCGTTTTGAAAGCGCTCTTTAGGGGGTTAATTGACTTTTCATTATTATGTGAAGTTTCTGAACAGCGAGTTAGAGACTTGCATTTGTTTCTCTTTTGCTCAAAACTTCAAAATTGTCCTTTGCTTTTAATTAATACGCAAAGCATTTAAGTTTCCAGGTAACTGATAAATACTTTTCTTTCCTATTTCATGCTACGTTTATAATAACTTAATTCTTATGATCTTAAATAAGATTTGCAATCGAGTTGTTTATAACGACAGTTTAAGCTACGGCAAAATGGTTTTAGAAATGCGTAATCTTTACATAAATTGACAAATCTGGCTCTTCTACGCTGAAATATTAATTATTATTATAATTGATTTTTGTTTATTTAGCTATTTTTAATGTTCATAACGCTATATTATTCTGAACTGTTAAAGCTTATTTAAATTTCCTTCATTTGTAGCGATAAATTCCTCTTTATATAAGTCGTTCTTTTACCCATGTGAAAAATAAATATTATTTTTTTAAAGATTTATTTGATTGGAATAAAAATGGCTCATATCTTGTAAATACGCTAAATGAAATCTGTGGTTTTTTTATTTTTTTATTTATTATTTTGTTTGTTAATTATGCATTTAACAATTTTTCTGAAATAAACGAAAATGGCTATTCTGAAGCCTTTTAAAGCTTATTTAAATTTTCTTCGTTTGTAACGATAAATTTCGTTTTGATATAACTAGTTCTTTTAGCCTTGTGAAAAATAAATATTTTTGCTAAAGATTTGTTTGATTGCAATAGACATGGCACATATCCTGTAAATAAGCTAAGAGAAATCTATGTATATTTTTGTTAATTATTCATTTAATAATTCTGAAACGATTTTTTTAAAGATTCTGGACAATTGGTTTGAAGTTTAGGCTCTTTTCTTCCTCTTTTAATTTGTAATTTCCAACCTGCACGCAACAATAGTGGTGACTGGATGAACTGGAAAGTACACAAAGTCTTGAGAAGGGTTTAAATCCCTTTTTATTCAACTTAGAAATTACAATGCGTGCTCTTGACGCTCACAAACTACGCCGACCCGGCGGTAAAATAAAAATAAGAAACTAAAAAGAATAATAACAAGTGACTAACTACGAGGCTCTCTAAACGTAACTAACTAACCTCACCGCGTTTTAAGATACCGCTGATAATTCAGCAAACTTCTGAATATTACGTTGAAAGATTAACTATCTGCCGAGGCAAGCACACAGGCCGAAACGCGTGGTTCTTCAATTTCTAACTAGCCACCTCCACGCTCGTGAAGCAAGAAAGCACACTTTCGAACTCTCGTTTCCTTCTATTTAACTCAGAATACTTCCGCTGATAATTTGAATCCTTTGCGCGTTCTACTAAAATTTACATACTCTGGCATTGGCAATTCCAGGGGAAAGTAAGGCTTGACAGGAAAGATAGTTTAAACTTAAAATAAATGTTAGTTAAAATAAATATAAACCCTACATTTGCCGCTGCCAGAATTTGGAAAACTTGGAAGCAGGTCCTAGAAACGACCTGTTGAAAAGTTTCTTTCCACAATTCTGAACTAACTTTAAGAGCCTCGTTTACAAAAAAACTGTTTTCTTATGTCACAAAATTAGAATAAATTTCTGTAGATACTTATTTTTATTACCCTCTCTTCTTACAGCAACAGCAACCTTTCCTGGACTTCATCAATCAATCTGTTCTCTCTTCCTTCCAGCATCTGGAAGGAATAAGTATCAGTATCTTTCTAAATACATTATAATTTACACTTTCTTGACACTGAATAAAGTTTTTGTTTTTGAACGATTTATTTTCCTTAGTTACTGCTTAATTCACATTCATTCAAGTATTCAAACATTGAATTTAACTTTACCCTGGCTCTCCACCATGTGTGGTGTCAAACGGGAATATTCGTGTTTTAGTATTACAACACTTCCCCTAACCACCAATGATTTGTTAGAATTCAACGACCAAATAGACACACACCTTACTCGACATTCTACAACTCGATGAGCTACTTTAACATTCTTAAAATTCAAGTGTAGGTGGAGAACCCTACAAAACACATTCATTCTAAATTCCCCCTCATTCATCTTTAGACATGCAGGCTTTCGCTCTAAAGCATGATTTTATCTACAGTTTAATACTTAAATTTGAATTCATTGCTTTTGAGCATTTACTTTTAGCATCTAAAATTTTATGCTTCTAGACTAAATTCTACTTTTACATAACTTTCAAGTATTTACGTATATTTACAAAATTCTAATACATATGATTTTTACAATTTACCATAAAATGAATAAGAGAAAAATAAATTTTTACTTTACTCATTCTTCGCCAAGCTGGCGGCACTGAAACTAAATTTCTTATTAATACAAGAATACGAAGTTATTTTTATCTTCGGCCAAATTTTGGCTTTAACATAACAGAATTAGTCTTTCGACCAACAGAAAACTGCTTGTTCTTAGATTTTATACTTAAAGAAAATAATACTTTTGCCTTAGCTAAATAAAGTAAAACAAAACTAAGTCTCAACCGAGACATATTGACTTTCCGTCAAAACATAGAACTTCGTATTTACGCATAACATTTCGGAACAAAAGAAAAAATTTTATAGAAGATTTTAACTTATCTTTGAGTTTTCGATGATTGGAACTCCGACATCCTCTTCTGGCAGAATTGATCCCAACGTTATGGAATTCATGGACGTCAATCTTCTCCTTTGTGTCCTTCGAGTTTGTCGTCCATGTTGATTTTTCTTTTCTTTTTCGCCCTCTGCATGCTGGCCTCTTGGAGTGGTAGTCGTCGGGTTGCTGTCTTTTCCGTTTTGCCCCTGGACGGCTGGTCTTGGTTGGCGTCCTCCGGTCTGGAATCTTCTTGAATTTCTTCTGTTGGTGGTGGTCTTTTCGTTCCTCCTGCTGTCTTTTCAGTTCTCGGGAACGGCGGCCTTGTTTGCACCTGACTCTCTGGCCCTGGAAGCGTTCTCCTCCTCGATGCAGAATTTCTACTGCGATACGTTGTAGGTGTGTTTTCCTCTTTACCAAAGGTTTCTTTACGCGGCGGCGTTGCTTTCTTGTTTTCTTAAATGCTGGAGTCTGAAACGTTTTCATTTCTTCTTTTCGGTACGTCGCGTGACTTGGTTTGTAGAAGGGCTAGGTTTCTCTTCAGTTCTCTGCTTCTTGGGTGGTGGAGCGGGTGACGTTACTTGTTATTCTCTGGACCTTCTACTTCTTTTACGCTTGAGTCCTGCAAGAAACTTTTAAGGATTTCAAAATCATTTTGATTATAGTATTTTTTCACCTGGTCGGGACTTGCTTTACAGATTTCCCCTCTCTCGTTCTTAAGGTACAATACGACTCCCTTTATTTCCTGAATTACATAGGGGCCTTCAAATTTTGGAGCTAACTTTGCAGTAAAATTGTCTGGGGCACTTGATAAAGAAAATTTCCGCTTCAACACTTTATCCCCAACTTTAAAATCTGCTTCACGGCGTTTTCTATCATAGTAAAATTTTTGTCTATTTCTTGCCGTATTCGAGCTTTTAACCTCCTGATCAATAAGTTTTTGCACATCTTTTTGTTTAAATTCTTGCTCTCTTTGTTGCACAAAGAATAATTTATCTAAGTGGCGTAATTAACTTTCCGTCCTAAAAATAATTCTGCTGGCTGCTGGAGTTTTTCCCGTAGTATCATGATTTGCCGTTCTTAAAGCATAAGCTAACTCATTTATGTAGCCATCCCAGCGCTTGTGATGTGTGCTAACATAACTTCGAATTATTTTTACAATATTTTTATTAACTCTTTCTGCTATGTTTGCCTGTGGTCTATACGGAACCATTTTGATATGGCGTATGCCAAGTCCAGTGCATATGTTTTCAAATATTTGACTAACGAATTGTTTTACCGTTATCGCTAATGACTTTTATCGGTGCACCGTATTTTAAAATGTATCTGTGTAAGAATGCATCTGCGACTGTTTTGGCTGACGCGCGTTTAAGTGGAACAATTTCTGTCCATTTTGAAAAATGATCTACAATTACTAAAAGAAAACGATTTTTATTTAACTCACTCTGGGGGAAAGGACCAAGAAGATCTATGCCTAAAATTTCATTCGGAAATGTAGCGCGAATGCTATTTAAGTACCCGGCCGGGCTGTAATTAATATCATTTATTAACTGACATTGATTGCAGGACCTGACATACGCAGTTACTATTTTGTATAATTGCGGGAAATATACCGCCTCGCGTACCCTTTTTAAAGTCTTTCTGACCCCTAAATGACCCGCTGTTTTCGCGTCGTGTAATTCCTTCAAAATGCTTAATCGAAGCGAGGCTGGGATGACTGGTTTTGTACTCAAGATTTTCGTTTGTTGTTTTCGTATAAAATAATAAATTATCTATTATTTCATAGTTTTCTGCTCTATTTCTTATCGCATCGATATCTGTGTGCTCAAAGCTTTCGGGGTCTTTCAAATATGCATAGATATTTCCAAATTCAGGATCAGCTTTCAGTTCAGTAATAATTCGTATCTCTAGAATCTAAAATTTTTGAAGTCAACACAGCGCATTTAAGTTCATTTCCTTCATCGTCCAGTTTTATACGAGAAAGTGCGTCAGCTACATTGTTTTCCTTACCCGGTTTATATTTTATTATGATTATATTCTTGGAGTTTTAAAGCCCATCTTATTAACCTGGGCGTTAGGTTTTTTCCCCCGAGTAAAGTCTACCAACAGCCGCATGATCCGAAAAGACTGTTACTGGCGCTTTGCCGAAATAAACTCGAAATTTGTGTACAGCCATTAATACGGCTAATGTTTCTCTCTCTCTGTAGCTGTATAATTCCTTTGTGTCTGATTCAACGTTTTACTAAAAAATGCCAGAGGATGGCCTATTTTGCATAAGAACCGCACCGCACCCACCGCATAGTCCGACGCATCTGCTGCAATTTCCAGGTTTTCGTCCCCCTCCGGGAATTTCAAAACAGGGGCATTGATGAGCGCTTCTTTTAATCTTTCAAAATGCTGTATTTGCTTCCTGCTGTCCACGTAAATTTACTTTTCTTTCTTTTTAATTACTAACAAGTGGTTCAACAATATTAGCGAAATCTTTTATGAAAGACCGATAGTAAGAACATAACCCAAGGAAAGAGAAGAAGTTTCTTGGCGGTGTTGGGAGGTGGGAAATTCTTGATGGCTTTTATTTTTGAATCTTGCGTTTCTATACCCTTTTGCGAAATTTTATAACCCAGATATTTAAGTTCTTTAGTTGCGAACTTGCATTTTGAGGCGTTAATTGTAAGACCGGCCTCTTTTAATAATTTAAAAACTTCTTCTAGGTCTTTAATATGTTGTTCCAACGTACTACTCGTTATAATTATATCATCTAGATAGATTAAAGTCGATTTTCCTAGGACAGGCTTTAGAACAATGTCCATAGCTCTCTGGAATGTTGACGGGGCCCCACACAACCCAAAGGGCATGCGTAAAAATGCATAAGTGCCCGATTTTGTTATAAACGCGGGTTTTATGTATCTTCGGGTCTCATAGCTATTTGATAGTAGCCAGACGTTAAGTCCAACGTAGTCATGTATCTTCGTAGATTTGATCTTTCTAATAATTTCCTCTATAACCGGCAAAGGGTAAACTGGGAATTTAGTAATACTATTAGTTTTCTGTAATCGATAGCAAACCTCCAAGCCCTTTTTATCCGAAGGAGGAAACTCGTTCTTTTTCCTACATAGTACGACTGGACTCGCGTACTCACTATTTATGGGCGTTATTATTTGGTTCTTTAACATTTCCTGAATATGTTCTTCGATGATTTGTTCTTTTGTTTATCATAGCGGTAAGGTTTAGTCCTACAAGGGTTTTTGTCGGCAATTAACTGTGTATCATGCGTAACAATTTGACAACGTTTACCAGGCCGTTTTTCTGAAAACAAGTTTGAGAAAAAGTTACTCACCACTTGCTGGATGGCTTGGCTTTCATGGTCATTCAAATGGCTAAGGTCCAACTTGCGGTTGTTCCACTGGTTCCACCACCCTCCGATCCATCTCCAGCACAATAGAACTTTCCTGAAAATTCAGTTTGGCCCTTCGCGGCCTTTTAAAAACTCCATACCTAAATAAGTGGACTTTGCAAGTTTTTTACCACAAAAATTAATACTTTGAGGCTTTCGTTTTGAACCTGTATTTTTAAAGATAATTTTCCGATGCATTGACAAGTTTTGTCCTTGCGCCGCTATAATTTTCTGTGTTTTTATTTTTAAATAATCGTAACCTATTAAAATTCTTCTTGAAAAAATTTATCACTCATAAAAATTACCTTCTGCTCCTGTATCGATGAGGGCTTCTACTGGTACATCGCCAACCAGGACTTGTATAATTGGTAGTTGTGAGTTTTTTTTTACGATGACCGTATTTAAGTATCTTCTTGAGGGTTTTTTTAAAACTTCCGGGGTCTGGACCCTCGCTTTTCACAGGCCCCTCTACTCGTTTAAAGCTTTCCTTTCAACTTCTGCCTTCTGGGTACGCGGACGGTTGTTTTTTCAAATTTCCTTTTTTTGGGCCTTGACCTTCGAGCTTCGATGAGTTAGCTTGATAGCTCTTTCCCCCATAAGCGATTTGCATTTCTGGTCTGCTCATTTGAAGATTGCCTTCGGGATACTTTGAGAATACGATTGCCCCTCTAGCTTTTTCCGCTATTCTGCGATTTTGGAACTTGACCGCCAATTCGAAGAGTTCCTGCAATGTGCTTGGGTTTCTAATTTCGAAGTAATCTTGAACAGCAGGTAGCAATCTTGGTAAGATTATTTCAATAATCTCCGCGTCGGGTTTCTTCCCATACAGCATATCCGTCAGCTTAATTTTTCGCAGAATAAAGTCCGTCAACTCTTCTATATTCCGTTGATAAAAACTATATAGTTCGGCTTCTAGCCTTGCTCGTCTTTCACTATGGGGAAGGCCTTTAATAACAATTTTTTGAAATTTTCAAATGTATATGTCTGGCCTCCGAATTCCCCTAATAAAAATTTGCCTATATTCTTCCACCATAGCGAGGCCTGTCCTCTTAGTGCAGATGTGGCAATGGCAACTTTTTGTCTTTCAGGCACAGGGTAGAGCTGGAAGTGGTTTTCGAGGCCTTCTAGAAATATCGCCACCGAATTTTTTCCGTCGAAATTGACGTTTGGCTTGATTGACGCTCTCATCGTCTGGACCAGGTATCCAAATCCTTCCAATTGGCTTGCCATTTCTTGTTGTTGTCCAGCGGCTTCCATCCAGTTTTCGGCCATTTCAGTTCGACAAGTGTTCGGGCGCCAATGTAATGTTGCGCGCCTCCCCAACCTGCACGCAACAATAGTGGTGACTGCTATGAACTGGAAAGTACACAAAGTCTTGAGAAGGGTTTAAATCCCTTTTTATTCAACTTTAGAAATTACAGATGCGTGCTCTTGACGCTCACAAACTACGCCGACCCGGCGGTAAAATAAAAATAAGAAAACTAAAAATGAATAATAACAAGTTACTCCTACGAGGCTCTCTAAAGGTAACTAACCTAACTGCGTTCTAAGATACCGCTGATATTTCAGCAAACTTCTGAATATTAAGTTGAAAGATTCAACTATCTGCCGAGGCAAGCACACAGGCCGAAACGCGTGGTTCTTCAATTTCTACCTAGCCACCTCCACGCTCGTGAAGCAAGAAAGCAGCACTTTCGAACTCGTTTTCCTTCTATTTTAACTCAAATTACTTCCGCTGACAATTTGAATACATTGCGCGTTCTACTAAAATTAACATAGTGTGGCATTGGCAATTCCAGGGGAAAGTAAGGCTTGACAGGAAAGATAGTTTAAACTTAAAATAAATGTTAGTTAAAATAAATATAAACCCTACAAAGTATTTATCTTTTATCTATTATTTTCAGTTAATCACAACTAAGTGCACAGAAATACCTCTTTTAATAGCTAGAATTATGTGCGAATATAAATGAATATATGCACACAAAATAAATATTACATTTGTTATTGAGGAAAAATATGCTTGGAATTAAGACCTTCAAAGGGGGAAATGGATTTTATTTAACGTGTGCATGTATCCAGGGGTTCTTGTAAATATTGATAACTTTAACACTCACCTGACGACCACATTAATATTGTCGAAGTTGCCATCGTCTGAGCCCAAAGACATTACGGAGTCCTCGGATGCGGCCGAGCTGGGCCTAGAATGGATACAAAAAATTAAATACAAGCAAATCAGTTTTAGTTCAGGTAAACGTGGCAACAATGTTGCCAACTCGTTTACGTAAGTTTATAAAACAGTTTGTAACAGAACATGGAAACTAAAAAATTAAACCCACGGATTTTGAAATTCTAAAAGCTTCTCATAACTTTTTTATGAAATGTGACAGACATTTTAAGAATATCATAAACAAACTAGGAAATTATGATTTCACAATTGAACAACGCCACAAGAGGCCCCGCACAATTCACTATAATAGTGGGTGGTAATATATATATTTTCGTTTTCTTCTTATTTAGCCAAGATTTTAATTCATTTTCTTTACTTATATACTATACTTACTTATCAAATTGCAATGCGCTATGGACTTGTTCCTGCCAAAGCAGGTAGACTTTGTATGTAAATAGTTTTTACGCTTATGAAACGTTTCAATGTACAGCAAATTGTGTTTTTCATCATTTCACTTTCCAATTATTGCTTATCAGAAGAATAATTTTTATGAAATTTTAAAAATGCATGCTGCAAGAAATGGCACAACTAGAGCTCCAGTCAACTAAAATGCTTTTCATCCCTACTAGTAGATGGCTCCACATGACGCCTCATTTGTTCAAAGTTTACTTATTCTACGGACGGCGGCACAGGAGCCTCCGTCGCTAGTAATCTCTGCGTTCTAGCACAGCATGTGCACAAGTACCTTCCATATTATTGGATACAACTTACTCGATTTCTCAAGCATTTAAAAGTCAAGTATAACATATTGGTAAAGTCCGTTAATGGTCGATTGCCTCTTATTCAGTGATAAGACATAGACATAGACATGGAAACTAATGATTTCAAAGTACAAAGCTTTGAGCGCTTTACAGCTGTACAGCGTTCTTGCAAAAAATTTTGTAAGTTAAAAAAACCTCAAACCATTAATTTATATAGAAAAATTCTTTTAAAGCTTTTCAGGTGTAAAAATAGTCTATCGCTTAATACCAAATTTAACTCAATATTCTGTGTAATACTGGTGAATAAATTGTGTTTTTCATTCTTTGTCAAGTATTACTGTCAAATCTACGAACTCAATCCACGAACCCGGTGAATGCAATAATAATATTTTGTAATTATAAAGCGTATTTTTGGAAGAAAATGTTTCAAGTAATTAATCCTTTTAAAATAATAAATAAAATCTCTTGGAGTTGCATAGTCGAATCAAACTGCAATTAAAAGTATAAAATAGCTTTCGAGGACGATATCGCTTGAAATTAGTAATTTTCTTAGAATTATTTTTTCCCACAAAAATTATTCATATTACTTTTTTATTTCTATGTTTTAATGTTGGCTTGAAAGAGTTTGCTTTTAATTTGAAATGATAAAATACGAAATATGGTATTTTATGTATGAAAATTCCAGAATGGGTTAACTTCTATCACTTCCATACTCTTTGCCTCTTATCATTCTTAAATACCACCCAGAAAGGAAAGTAGGTAGCACCTCTGCCTGGCTTACCGAAGGGCCCAGGTTCGAGTCCTGGAGAAGATTAGGACGTCTCAATAATATGATGACCTCAGCTTTTGACCTTAATAGTGGCCAAAGTCTAAAACGGCTAGTACCCAACATTAAAAAATAATCTTTAAGTATCCAAGTTTATTGTATTATCCAATATAGAATGCCTTTTTATTACTGATAATTTTTTTTATATCTTTTTACTTATAAATAATAAATTTTTAACAAATCTGATACTCCCAAAAGGAACGATTTATAAGAAAACAATGAAGTATTTTTAGTCAAGTTTAAATTCATGAAGACTAGCAAACCGATTCGAAGACAAATTTTTAAATTTAGCCAAATTTTCAAAAATCTCAGAAATAATTGATAAATTTTCAGAAAAAAAAAAAAAATACTGCAATTAGTAAAATCCAAAATCTTTAAAATTAAGGCAAATATTTAGTGATTATTATATGGTGATTGATTCAATGCTTGCAATATTATGCAATATTATGCAATATTGCAAGCATTGAAATTCCCCAAAGAATAAAAAATGCAATTGGAATCAAAGCCACGACTTTTCGCTTCTCCTATTCTTTTCAATACAGTCAAACCCTACTATGGCGAACCCATTTTATAACGATCATCCGGATGTAACGAATATGCTCTTATTGGTCCCGTTCAATTTTCTATGCAATTAATGCTTTTTAAATGGGCTATAGCGAACCTATAAAAGCATGAAATTCGGATGTAACGAACTATATAGATATGTTCAATTAAAACTTTATTGCATTCTTCCTATTTAGTTTTCAGAATACTTTCAATTTTAAAGGAAAAATCATGCATGCTGAGATTATTAGGGTAGCGAGAAACATATTTATATTACTTTTATCTTTTAATCTTTTTTATCTTTATCTGTATTACAAGCAACGCCGATTTTATCTGTGTTGTAAGCAAAGGTTATTCGAGGCAGGTTTAACATAAACGTGATTATTAACGATTATAAATATGCATTTTAAAGATTGATATATATTTCGAGAGAAAAACTTCAGCGTGAATTTTATGCTAAATAATTTATAGTGTAAAATTATTAATTTATGTTGAACCTGAAGATGTATTAAATAAAGCAAATTTAACAATAACACGTAAAGAGAAAGTCTGAAAGTTTTCAGAATTTAACGGTCTCCCAGAAGGGTTTGTTAAGGTTTTTTTTATGTTTCCGCTGAGTTCACAGTGAACCAGTCTGTCTATTACACTTACTCTTACTAATTACCACTTTTTTTTTTTTTTTGTCTTTTTAACTTTATGATTAAGCATCATTTTCTTCGCACTTACGCCATATACAATTCAACAGCAAAATTACAAAAAATTTAAAAGTAGCATAGCAGTATACGTTTAGAATTCCCGTTGCAGCATAAGTGTTGGTATACATTTTCTGTTCCTTTTTTAAGTCTTTTCACAGTTTATTGAATATTCTAAGTTTTCTTAAAGATGGTTTTCCAAACCTTTTTTTTTTTTTTTCTTGTCTTTTTATTATTAATGTTGTGTGGGTTTTCTTTATTTATTAAATATCACGTTCTTGGCGCTTAAGACGCATAAAATTCTATTCAACAGCAAAATCCCAAAGTATTTAAAATCAGCATATCTTTAGAATTTCTGATAGAGAGTCTCGCGCGCTGGTGATAAAAATGTGTTTCTCCGTACAGTGTTGCCTCGGCTCGGTTTGAAATCATTGAAATAGTTAATCAAAAATTCGTTTATGTTTTACAAAATATGCAAATGATAATAAAACAAAGTCGAAATTCATGCCTTCAGGTGCCCATGTTCGAGTGGAGGACTACGTTATTCAAGTCTAGATGGCTGTAGGTACAGCCATTCTTCCTCAATGCACAAACATGCATACATTCGTGCTGATTGTTCATTATTAAATTTCTTTAAATATAATACAAGGCACTAATATTTGGTGGAAACAATTTGAAAAGTGATATATTTTACCGTTTATAGTGATTTAATGCAAAATGCCGTTTCGAGACTAATATTCCATCCGGAACTAACGTTTATTTTGGGCTAATATAATTAGGATAAACAACTAGTATGAAATTTTATGTTAATTAGAGCTGTTTTTGACTTCTTCTAGTAAATGTAATAATGCTAATCAGTTTTGTTTTTTGATGGGATAAAAGTTTCGGTCCCTTGAAATTCTTTACATGTCAAGGACCGAAACTTGAAATTTCCATTCTGTATAAAGAAATTTATATTCTTTACATTCGTTTTACACATATTCAAAAACGGTTCACCTTTTTATTTAAGGAAGCTTACTTGTAAAACTTACTGACAAGGTTAATAAATCATTTAAAATTTTCAGAGCCTTGTATTTTCTGCTTTCAAAGCGTTCATAGATTACGATCGAAAAACAACAATAACATATTAAAAAAAAAAAAAAAAACCCTCATAAAAACGTCCAAAATTATTCTCCCTTACGACATGCTATAGTTATCTGCATCTATTTGCACCATTCCTATGTTTAACCTCCTAATAAAATTTATTGCTTCCACTGGGGCAATAATGTGCTCAAGCTAAGGATACCCTGCACTATAAAATAAAACATAAAATGCTATATAAAAGCATGTTAATCGGAAGTAAATGCCAAGTATAAAAATGCGAATAACTTTTTTTTTTTTTTTTCCCTCTATTAGAAAACTTTACATGTACAAAAAGATGCAGAATAATAAAGATTTTGCTGACAATAAAAATTTGCAGTTTACCGCAAAAATAAATATTGCTTCGTAAAATGTTTTTATAGTGAAAACAAAATGAATCATACGATCGTAATTTAAACATATCACTACAGAATTAAGTCATTTAATTTACAACTTTAATAGATAAGAATAAATAAAATTATATAAAGATCTATGAAATATTTATCTCATTTAAAGCAAATAATACAAACCAATTTCCTTTAGAAACCATTCCAAGAAAACGCCATCTTCTTAATATTTTACAGTTATAAATAATTTATAAACACCATGCTAAACTATTGTCATAAGGATTTTTAACTGTGTGAGCGTAAAGTTTGGTATTTGCTCTTATATACCCATTTCCTTGAAAATGGGATATCTCTATTAATATTTTTCATTATTTCTAAGCACCCAAAATAGCAGCGTTGTCAATAAAATGAAATTATTTAATGACATTTTATCGAAATAATAAATAAATGAAAATAGCAATTAGCTCATGTTTATGCAACTATGTACAGTTTCCGTAGTATTGGTTAAAATGATTACTTTTTTCGTTATTTTCCATTTGGTATTCATTAGTTTTCATCAAATCCTTTATTGACACTCTAAAATATGAAAGAAAATCGATCTGTGGCTTTGGATTGCAGGACATTAAATATGCGTTCGGTCTCCTAAGAAACGTACGAGAAAAAGGGTTGCTTTTCCCTTGACTATTTGGAAAAATCTGATGTTAAATGGTACATGAAGTATGAAACTCGATTTAGGAATGTCT